AAGTGGTAGAGAAACTCATGGAGTAAACAGACCGTTAACAAAAACGAGTAACTATGACTTTAGCAATCAATGTTTTGCAGTGCTATCAATGTGATAACACCCCAACGGCTATATAAACACCTACTGAGCATGGTCTCATTCATTCCACATGATGCTGCAATAGCAGCTGGAGAGCAGTAGAGGGAATAGGATAAGATGGAGAAGGGCGAGGGGAGCTAACCGCCAAAAGACCTGAGGTCCAATTAATATCATTCTAAGGTCATGTCACGATTACGGTAATGCCTTCTACTATATAAGACACTTTTTTGTGCATGCGTGCCACCTCCACGAGGTGTCCATGTCACCAGTGGATGGGAGCACATTGGAAGGAGTAAAGCTTACGCAGGTAAGGAGGTCCCGGTGGTTGCCGGGGGACCAATCTGGTGGTCTATATTGCGACTAACAGAAATTCTTTATGTCCAAGGTTTTTTCCGATTTTCAATAAATATACCGGAGCGGAAGTGGTGTAGTGGCAAGTGGCACGCTTACCACGCGAGCGGTCCGGGGATCAAATCCTGGGTCGTGAGTCGCCCGGGCCAACCAAGCCTTCCATCCCTCCGGGGTCGGTTAATTGGTACCAGACTTGTCTGGGAGGAAAACACTGACTTGTACATCGGCTGGCCCCGCAAGTCATTGTATAGGCCACATCGCATTCAAACGCCACTACGAATGTACAAATGGAAGTAGAATGCGTGCCGCATCCCAAAAAGGGATTGATCAACGGCAAATGCTTTATCTTTTTTTATCTGGGCCAATTTACTTTATTACCATGTTTATGGTAATAAGCCATCTAAACTACATAATACACTTACGAGGAAAGGTCACCAGGTCGGTCCGGCCATTTGCAATGAGGTGTATACCTACGCATTCGTCTTGAGACGATAAGCTAGAAACCGCTTTTCTTATCTGCTAAACGGTGCTCTGAACGGAGTTACGGAAGTTTTCCCCTCAACACTGTACTTAAACGCAGTATATGAGCGCTATCATTGGAGTCGCCACTATAAGCCAAGCGGGAAGGCGCATATCGTGGTTGACGTGGCGTAAGTGGTAACGCTCCAGGCTTGTAGGCGAGAGGTCATGGGATCGGTCTCTCGTGGTGTTTGTTGTTTTGCCTTTTTGAAAACATGACCAGAAAGGCTTTTAGCGACAGTATTTCCTCAATGCCTGCCTTTACCTGCCTGTGTAAGGAGTTAGCGAGCACCCCGTCGCAGGTTGAGAGCTATTATTTAATTAATATGCCATGACTGAAAACGACGCTCATAGCCCACTGATAAGGTGTTTTTGCGGTAAACGAGTATGATATTCGTGTTCAGGAGACCGAATTTTCCCCTGGTTACAAGTTTCCAGCTGAATCTGAGATTTTGACCTACACTCGAGAAAGGGCAGTCAACATACAGTCAAACGAGAGAAGGTATGAATCGAAAACTAACTGGAAAAGCACCTTCCCTGAATTTTGATGCAGAGTCATGTAAATCATTTCCATTATGCGGAATGTGAGCCGTTGAACGTTTCTCTTTTCAAAATCTTGGTTGGAAGGGCAATTTCCATGCCAAGAGTTCAACGATAGGTTGATGATATGATGGTTGACTCACCTCATTTTTTAGGGTTGGGTCAAAATCTCAGATTCGGTAGGAAACTTATCTCCAAGGGTAGTTTGATCTCCTGAACACGAATATCACGCCTGTTTGCCGCGAAAAAGCCTGACACGTGCATTACGGGCACCATGTTCATACATGGACGACTACTGCCCAAACCTGCAAGGAACTGCTCGAAATTTTTTCGTACAGGGAACTAACGGCAAAGTTGATAAATTAAGAAGTTAGAAGCTTTCTGGCTACATCTTCACGAAGCACAAAAGAAACAGACTCTCCGAGGAACCGTTCCCACGACCTCTTGCTCGCGAGTTCGGGGCACTGCCACTGCGCTTCCTTGCTTTATAACTACGTTCAAAGAATCGTTTAGCAGATAAGGAAGGCAGTTCTGAGCTCAGCGCCTCGAGGCGACTTCAACGGTATACGACTCATTGCAAATGGCCGGACCGGCCTAATGACCTTCCTCGTTAGTAATCTACAAGTATTAGTCATACATCTAAGCGACGAAATAGCTGCAATATAGCCAGATATGATTGCTTTTGGCTCGAATTACAGCTCGTGGAAGCTTGACGTCCGCATCGATGATGGCATGTAGGAAGTAGTGGAAAATTTTGCTCAAACACTTCTCATCAACATAGGATAGAGCACGGGATAGCCTACGATTTTTCGAGAATTTTCTATTTTCAAAACAAGCAACTTTTATGCACTTTCTCTCCTCAGGTAATCTTAACTCATGGAAAGAGTTCGATCTTGACGGGCCGGGTGGATTTTGCTACTACTGGAGAGGCTTGGCCGTGAGTCGCTCGTGTTCTCGAGAAGGAATTTCGGAAGAGGCCCGTTGATGGGTCTGCGGCGGTTTCGCAATCAGCGGAAATTCAGAAGTTGCCGTTCCATTATTGCGTATGAAGTAAAGAATACCAAGCAGTGCTCCAATGTCACCTGTTGCCTTTCTTAGCGAAGCGGAGCGAAAATTGCATTTAGCAACAGGACCACGTGTCTTTCGATGCTTCGCAATCTACCAAAGAATGGCCTTAACCAAATGGTGCTGAAGCGATAGATTGGCTTGTGTGTCCTCCTTACTGCAACCCTATAGGGAGCCCTTGATCAAGGCGTTAACTTTAGCAACCGGCAGTATAATACCGCGGATGAACTGAAGGCGGCGGTAGAGGCTATTTGGGCCGACAGCGACGAAACAGCTATGCCAAACGTGGTTCAGATTATGCCGGACAGGATGTTTGAGCTAATTAGAAACTCTGGAGGCCCCACTGATTTCTAATCTCAGCTATGTTTTTGTCTTTTGTTAAGTGTGCACATACTTTTGAAACAAAGAAAAAATTTCATCCAAATTTTTTTTCGAAAGTGAAGGCGATATTATCTGCTTTGCTTCCATTGATAGGTTATCGACTACGAGAAATCGATTGAGAAGGATTTCATAGCACGAAACCTCATGGTTCCCTTTCAAACGTGAATTTTGAGGTGTCCACATACTTTTGAAACGCACTGTACATAACCATGGCTTCAGTGCAGTGTACGGTTACATCTACATTTCAGAGGAATGGCGTATCCAGGGTTGCGAAATTATGGCCTAATGCCAGGATTCCTTATGCTATCTCACCGCATTACTCATCTCATGAACGCGCTCTTCTTGCTCGAGCTGTCAAGCAGGTTCGTTTGCAAGCTTTTCAACATGGTTTATGCGCATGTATCATGGCCCATTTCTACTATACGCCATGTTGTTAGATTTAACTGGGGGACGTTAAAGTGGGAACGGTTAGAAGCACACTCCGTAATGACTAGAAGATACAATTTTGCCCAATTGCGAGGACTGGTCTGAAAACCATGGGAGAGATTCATGTCGCGCGCAAGCCCAGTCTTATTCGCGTACACATTTTATAGTTGATGCCACGCTGGTGCCTGCGCCTCACTGATCTCCATCCGTTTAGGCCCTCGTTGTCAGTGCAGGGTCAATCGATGCGTTTGGTACGGTTTTGAAATTGAACGAGCGCTTCTAGTAAGACTCCCTCAAATGACCCCTCCACCGATAACCCTAAACTACCATAGCTATTCCACAGTGTTTCATCCTGCCACTACATGGCATACTAAAAACTCTTCCCCAAACCCCAAAACAGCGTTAAGCGAAGGGAATGTGTAGGCGGAGGGACGGGAGATAAAATTCTGACTTCCCAAAATTCCCTTATTCCCAGTTCCTCCAAAAGTAGACCTACTACCCAAAATCACAAAATACGACTCTTTAGCGCTTTTGGAACGGTTGTGTCAGAGGCGCTCGTCCGAACGCACACTATTTTCCGTGCCGTTGATATGCTTTAAATAAGCTATGAAGAAGAGCTTTTATCCAAGGCCTTTTCGGCAATTTCTTCTGTTTATTTCCCGCCTGACAGTTCACGTAGCGCTTACGGTCCCACATTTGAACACAACAACCGTGCCCTTTCTACATGAAATATGCCTCCAAGCAAGAGGTGGGGTCTTTCAAGACATGAAAGCGTTTTTTTTTTTCAAAATGGTTCTCTGAATGGTTCTAGAGGCTCATGTGAGGAACACAGAACCATGGTCCATTTTTCCTGAACGCCGCCCCCAGGAATGTCAAAACAGCGGGAAAGAAATGGTCCAAAGTTCGATCCTCCGTGATGACAAATTTTTGCAATTTATGTTGGCGCCTCCAAATTGCCGCAAAACACGACAATGACATCTATTCTCGACGATGGATACCATTTGGCGGCAATCTGGGGCGCCAAACTATATTGCAAAAATTAGTCATCACCGGGGATCGAACTCTGGACCATTTCTTCACCACTTTTTTGACATTCCTGGAGGCGTTCAGGAAAATGGATCATGGTTCTGTGTTCCTCGCATGAGCCCCTACAACATGCAGAAAACCATTTCGAAAAAAGCGCTCATGTCCTGAAAGACCTTCCTTGTAAGACGATGACAGCAGCAAGGCATATACCAGAGCTTTTTGAAGGAGGGTAGAAGCCTCAAAAACTTGTTTTCAAACCCAACAAGGTTTAATCGGACATCTTTAGCTTCGTTACATACCTGAAAGTTTGCCTAACCCAGTAGATCTGTTAGCATTCAACCTGGACCTTATGCACAAAGTCACATACCAACTACTGTGAAACGTTGTTTTCAGTATCACGAGAAGACGTGTATTCGGTTTGTGCCTCGGTCTGGCGGTGAACCTGATTATTTATTCATCGGGAAAGTGGACGGGTGAGTTGCAAAAAAGGGTAATAGCAGAAATCAGCAGTTATTCGGCCAATTTCAGCCAAGAGTCAAATGGAACTGGAATTTTCTTTCGACCTTTACAAGTTCAAATCATGATTCAATAAATGCTTGGAATTTTGAACGCACCTAAGTACTGGTCGTTTCAGTTGCTTTTCCGAAGTCGGTCGAACATCCGGTGTGCAGGTTACTGTCGCTGGACAACGGCTGTATGGAATACGCCACGATCATCCACGAGATGATGCATGTCGTCGGATTTTATCACGAGCATGGTACGTAGGGATGAGACGAGAAAACTATCTGGAATATCGGTATTAAGTTGGGCTAATGGTCCCTCACCCGGCACAGCGACTGCATACTCAGTCTCCTGCCTTGCACACATTAAGTATCCAATAGAAATAAGGGCGCTCATATCTTTGGGGAGGGGGAAGAAATTCAAATATGGCCGATGGAAGGTGACACTAGGACTAAGCACAAGAGAGTGGAGAAACGCTGGGAGAACACAAACTGCTCAGATCCTCTTCCAGAATCCCTTTTCTCCCAATCACTGTAAATGGTTCACTCAATTGAATGTCCACCCCCCCCCCCCCCCACCCCAAAGACAGGAGCGCCGAAATAAGTAGTACAACATTTAGAAGGGAAGGGTTGTTCGACTATAATTAGCAGAAAAGAAAGGCCCAATTTAACGAATATTCAACCATCCACATGAAAGCCACACAATGGCCGATGTCAGACTTTGCGATTGGAGCGATTTTGCACCAATTGCAGGAGCGACGGATCGCTTGAGCGATGCGAGCGACGGGAGATTTACACCGCCGACCACCGATAATTCGGCGCCATCAGTTCGTAAATCTCCCGTCGCTCGCATCGCTTGAGCGATCCGTCGCTCCTGCAATTGGTGCAAAATCGCTCCAATCGCAAAGTCTGACATCGGCCAATTTACAAAAAGCAGTTGTTCATCATACATACACTTCGTTAGTACTAAAGAAAAAAAACCCTTGGAAAATGCAAATTAATGGGCCGATAGGATCGAACCTTCTCGGCTAGACAGTTGCTAATGTGAATCAGCCAAACAACTTCCCAGAACATTCTCAAACAGTGAAGTTAATGTTCGATTGAATGAGTCGTTAAATAATACCATTTACAGAGCGGTGGGATCGCGATAACTTTATCGACATCATCTGGCAGAATATCGACAGAGGTAGGTTTGTCTTTACAATTACTCCAGAAGAAAGCAAAAACCCCGAGAAGAGAAATCGGCTCACAATTTACCGTTTTTCTGTTTTCACAAGTTTTCGTCCAGTAATTCTAAGTGTCGCCAGCTTGTTGCAGGTGCACTGGACCAGTTTGGAAAGGTAGATTTGAGTAAAACATCTTACTATGGACAACCATACGACTACAAATCTATACTACACTACGACAGTCTGGCATTCAGTAAGAACGGCTTTCCGACGATGTTACCGAAACAAAAATGTAGGTACTACGCTTTAACTCTTATGAATAGGAATTTGGTGTAAATGCTGAAAAAGACTTGAAAATGCACATGCACTAAATTTGGGTCTCATCCAGTAAGGGGGGGGGCATTGTGATGCAACGTCAAGTGGCTGCCCTCACCCCCACCCCCTAGACTGCCTTCACTCCCCCTGGCTCACGGGGTCCCGTACTTCGAGAAACCTGTGCGCCAGGGGGAGTGTAGGCAGTCTAGGGGGTGGGGGTGAGGGCAGCCACTTGATGCCCCCTTACTGGATGAGATCCAAAAAATGCATACCTGATTGACTCAAAGTGCTAAGATGATGATAAGCGTTGTTTGTGGGGTCCTCGTATAATCACTTGAGTGTCGCTTCACCCTTCCGGCTATTGATCCGATCGATAGATCACACGGGCTCCGTAGATCAGCATGGAAACTGACAATGATGTAAATCAATACGCATATTTTGCATGAAATGCACCAATTTTAATTCTACTCAAGGAACTGTTTGATATGTTCTTTCACGTTCCGACAAGTACGAACAGGATTATAGCGAACCAGTTGAACTTGACACATTCATGACCCATCGTGGCGCAGGGCAAACATGGCATTAAAAACCACAGGAAAAATTTCTAGGGTACCAAAAACAGTAAGCGGAAAGAGGGGGGGGGGGGGGTGAAGGGGGTATGAAGTGCAACGTTCGTGTCACCTAGAGTTGTACAAGTTTTTGGAGGGGTAGGAAATTCTAGGTGGGTGTAAAAGAGGAAGCGAAGAGGAAGTGGTTAACGCACCCGTGATTAAGCTCCTCCTGCAAAAATTACGATCTTTTGTAGCCGCCGGCAGCAACTATCGCACAACATGCCCCTCCTAATTATTGAAAGGGCCCCGATTTCCATTTTCTACTCGCTGTTTGCACAAAAAAACTAGTTTACTCTTCGAAGTTCCTCCGATGAAAAAAATGGAATCACCGTTACCAAGGTACGCACTGTGCGTCCTACACTTGCGCAACTCTGTACCTAACCGCTGCCTCATTTCAGCCTATTTTATATCGTATGATCGCAACGTCAGTACCACTCCCTTGGAGGCGGGAGTTAGTTTTGAGGCGGAGCCGGTTCTAAGTTGTAACTTAATTACCTTGCTGAACCACCGTTGAAATGCTGCACTTCTCTCTTTCGTCTCCCGCTCCGCCTTCACTGATGCAATTTGTACCTCTTGTGTATAATCCGCACTTTTCACTCGCAATCTTAAAGGCGAAGTACGGGCTCAGACCTACTCAAGAAGCCCTTACCGTGGAAATAAGTGCTAGGTACGCGAGTGCAGAGGTCGCGCCACTTTTTTTTACATCAAAAGGAGCTACTAAGACGCTAGACGCTAAGGACTTTGGCAGAGGAGGCGGTCATATGGCGCGATCCCATTGGCATTGGGGCGCACAGGCCGCAAATGCCCATCCTCCTGCGACCGGACAACTCGTCCGATGCACTTAAAGGAATCTTCCGCGGAAAAAGCTCCGCCTCCATTACCCAGAAAAACGATACCCCTTAGGCCCCTAGCCTCATGAGCATAGCAAAAAGAACGGAACATAAGCGTTAGTTTCGATAATACTAATCCTACACACAAGACAAAATGATCACTCTTTCCGTGGAAGATTCCTTTAAGGTATCGTTTTCTGTGGTAATGAGGGCGGAGCTTTTTCCGTGGAGATTCCTTTAACTACTAACTTCAGTGATTGTATGCGATCTGATAATTTGGGTCACAAACATCTCTCTGTGTCCCAAAGATCTAAAAAAGTAGAAGATAGTTTCTGCCGGCCCGATGTCAAATCAACAGGAACGGAACATAACCCCGTCTTCAAATGACCAGAAATTGTGCAATTGCAGAAATTGACGTGGCTTGAAGTGCTTTGATCTGTTGAGAATTTGAGACTTTTCACTGCTATACTCTGTTTCATGCAGCCAGAAACCCACGTGGCACACGTGGCTAAATTCTCGATGAAAAGGTGACATCACGTGTGCTCAAAGATGTTCTTGAATCGATGCCACGTTAATGCCACGTCAATTTCTGCAATTGCACAATTTCTGGTCATTTGAAGGCGAGGGTAGTTCGCGGACGATTGTCCCAACAG